ATTCTCCAATCGTTTTGGTGAAGAAAAGGGATAATACAAACCGTTTTTGTATTGACTTTAGAAGACTCAACTCTGTTACAAAGTTTAATACAGAACCAAAGGGCAATGTTGAGGATGTGATGGCAAAGCTCAAAGAAGATAAGTTCTTCACAAAAATTGATTTGACCAAAGGTTTTTGGCAAATACCAATTGAAGCAAAATCAAGACATCTAACAGCATTTTCTACAACAGAAGGTAGTTACTAATTCAGAAAGATGCCATTTGGAATGGTCAAATCTGGTGCAACATTTAATGGAATGATGCGGAAGTTGCTTTCCGGAGTCAATGATACTGATAAAAATGTTGACGATGTGTTTGGACATACGGTTACATGGGAGAGACATATGAAGATGTTGAGACAATTGTTTGAAAGAACACGAGAAGCAAATATCACAGTTAAACCTTCTAAATGTATGATTGGATTTGAAAGTATACAATTTACTAGTCATGTTGTTTACAAAAGACAAATGCAAATGGAAGATGACAAATAATCAAAATTAGAGACGCTATGCGACCAGAGTCAAAGAAGCAACTGAGATCATTTCTTGGTCTCGCTGGATACTACCGAAAATTCATTGCTTCATTTGCGGAAATTGCTACATCATTGACAGATTTTACGGAGAAATGACAACCAAAAAAAATCATGTGGAAGCTAGAACATGAAAAAAAAGCCTTTACTTGAAGCAAGTATTGACACGATCACCTATACTACGACTTCCAGACTTTTCAAAGTCATTTGTTTTGCAATGTGATGCTTCAGACACAGGTGTTGTGACTGTACTTGTTCAACAGTTTGATGATGGTCTGCTTCCAATAGCTTACACGTGTAAGAAATTGCTGAATAGAGAAAGAAACTACTCGATTATCGAAAGGGAATGTCTTGCAATGGTATTTAGAATAAAGAAATTCAACAAATATTTGTACGGGAAAAATTTGAGATGCATACAGACCATGCTCCTTTAACATATATTCAGAAATGTAAAGTTGAAAGTGGCCGCATAGATGGGAATTATTCATTCAGAACTATAAGTTTCGAATAGTAGCTGTAAAAGAAAAGGACAACGTATGTGCAGATTACCTAAGTAGACTGGATACCTGAAAAGGGACATTGTAGATTATTCATATTGTTTGACAACAGTGGAGTGTTTTCTTGAGTAGGGACTGTCAGAATAATCATACAGTTTCACTGTGATATTTTCTTTACAAGAGTTAATGTTTTCATACAGCGAGACATTGAAGCGTATCAAATTTCAATGTAAACCTGTTGATATGCGTATATTAAACTCTCTATGCATTTAAAGGTCAAATGCGTTAAAAACAGAAAATATGCGGGTTTATAGAGAGATTTTACATCAGATAGGAGAGACACGCTGATAGTGTGTGGCGGTTATTTTTTTGTTGAGAAGAGAATTTGTTGTTTTGAAGAGAGTTTTGTTAATTTGCTGAAGTTGGTTGAATGTTATTTTGGTGATCTTAATTGATCAGGGTTTATTGGTTGTAATTTCTTGTTTTGGTTTTTGAGTTATATCTGTTTGGTTATAAATATTTGGTTGAAATTTGTTGAATGCTTGTCTGGTCAAGATTATATTAGTTGATGCTTTGTTTTGAGGATATATGTAAATATTGGGTGCTTTAGTTTAATTTGTTTTCTGATGCTGATTAGATTTTGTAAAGTTAATATTGTTGGATGAATGTTTGTGGTTTATAGTGTATCTTAGAGTTGTAAAAATATTCATTTTTGTGTTCTTCATTTTGTGGTGATTTTATTGTTTTGTTTAGTCATAATTGGTTTAGAGCTTCGGCTCGCCAGATGTCTAGTATTGTTTCATATAAAAGACGTATACGTGAAACGATATTTCCTATAAGTGGCTGATAAATGATGTGTGTTTGTTTTGGGTGTAAATAATGATCAGAGTTCTTTGTTTTGGGTGTAAATAATAATCAGAGTTTGTTGTTTAAATGTATATATTGATTTAAGATAGAAAAAGATAAAATACTTAAAAAATAGTGCTAACTAAACAATTACATGCTAGTTTTCCAACTGAGAATATTTCAATTTTATGTCAGGCGGGGCTGCCCAGCCCCCATATCTTGGAAATTGGTTCTAGTATTTATTACTAAATCTTTCCATAGATAAAATTACATGAAGGCAGTTATTTCTCCTGACATTTACAATTGTTGATTACTCAAATCAAGCTAAAAGTATTTGTACAAATGAGAAAAAAATTAGACAGATGACTGTAGCCTGTCGGTTGCTTAAAGGTCATGTGTTAGACAGATAACTAGCATGTGGTAGACTGAACTATCTAAACTATTAGAAACCCTGAAGATTTATTTTGGGTTTCTATACTGCTTCTTGGTTACATTTGAATGACCCTCCTTTTGACTTTCAAACGTACACATTTCTGACTTCAGGAGCTATGTACATATGGGCCCGCAGTCAACACATAAATGCTACATTGGTTTTTCTTTGTTGCCAAGTGGGTTTTCATTTTTTATATTAATTTGTATGACACTTCCGGAGATCCTAAAAAGTTGATATCATATTATGTTTGACTTGCCAATGTGCCTTATTGGCGTTCGTATATTTGACTATAAATTTATGATAATGAGAATAAATAACAATTATATCTATATCTTAACTCTCTTCCCCCTGCACTTGCCCGACTAGCTACCCAAGAGCAGTTAAGTGCAGCCATAGCTTGCATTAATTATGTGTCACCCTAGTTTTCCCAGCCCCCTGTTCTTATGTTCTTAACATTTTAAATATTCTTTTTTTATCCTCTTTTATACAACTCTATTTTACATTCAAACGATTCTTACGCGCAGACATGTGTATGTTCCTACAAAGGGTTTGATATTGGAATAAAGATATATATGTGAGATAAGTTCACCAAGCATCTCGCACGGTGGAAACGTTTACACTTAATTTGCACTTAAAGACACGTGCATAGTTTCCGAATATTTTGGATCCTCACTGACGGGAAACACGATTTGTCAAGTCCAATAATAGATGCCTTAGATTATGATACCAGATTGGAGAATAAAAATGATTCAAAAACAAAGATATGTATCAATATCTATAACAATAGAAAATACAAAAATGATTCGTTGACAATGCAGTTGAGGACTTCTTACAATTTCTTTTAAGAAATAATCTTAAATGCGTTATATTTATGTGAGGTGTCTGAACTTACCTCAATCATAAATGATATAATATAAATACAAAACTATATAAAAGGAACACAGCAGCCATCATAAAACCACCGGAATGGCACCCAGTAAAACAAGAAACAGAAATTTGACAGACACGCTTAAGTGACGGAGTAAACAGAGAGAAAAAAACGGACTTTATAAGTTACTAACATAGACAGCATAAGGTATACGAGTACATACAACAACTGTTATCGATTACATTTTAAGGTTTTTGATAAATTCTACACCTTATTGGTCGCATACTTTTAAGTGAATACGTGAGATCAAATCGGTTAAATATATCTTGTAATTTAAATCATTTGATATAGATGCTTAAACTTCATTGTAAATATCTAATGCAATGTCATTAGTTATTTACTTATGAATACAATTACATGTTAATGTAAATATTATGAAAAGTAAATTACTTGAAAAAAAATCTTCTATTTAGCATGCTTAAACGTCCTTGTGCAAATATCAGTTTTATACCGGTCGTTGTGAAAATGGTATATTGTAACAAGACTCCAAATCGTTTACATTTTACTTTACATATTTACAGTTTTTATGTAAATAAGACTGAATTAAACCGTACTTCTACGCTTGTCTATGTGTTGTGAATAACACGCTGCAAATGGTACGTTAAAAAAGATCGCACAGCCATTTGTCGTGATGATTTGCTTGTAGTTATTCCTTTTTTTGCAAATCTGAACTAAAATGTTTTGTCACAAAATATGTCTTCCAAAACGAGATTAGGTACTGATCATTCCTGTGAAGGTTTGTTAAAATCCCAGCCGCAGTTTGACCAAAAATTTACTATTTATAGCGCTGGTGGCCATTTGCTGCAGTGAAGCGGAACGTGCCAGTAATATGCACAACTAGAGATAATACTGATCACTCATGTTGAGTTTTATTAAAATTCCACCAGCAGTTGACCTTGGAAAGTCATAAAGTGATGTCGAAATCCTGCCTGCAGTTTATCCTTTGAAAGTCGGACAATTTTCTTTTATCTATAGCTCTAGGTGCCATTAAATGCAACGAAGCGGAATATGCCAGAATTATTCACAACCAAGGATAGTACTGATTACTTATTGAAAGTATTATTGAAATCCTACCAGAGGTTTGACCTGTAAAAGCCGGAAAGTATTTTTCTTTTTATATGGCCATTGTGTGCAGCGAAGCGGAACGTGCCAAGAACATGCACACAAGATATGGTACTTATCACTCCTGTGAGGTTTCATTGAAATTTAATTAGCAGTTTGACCTACGAAAACCGGACAAGCTTAATGCGGACGGACGGCCAATCAACCAACCAGACGGACGGATAGACGGCGAAGGCAAATTAATATGTCTCCCAAAAATGTTTGGGAGACTTTATACCATAACGTGATGAAAGTCTGGTACTTTTGGTGTGATAAGATGATGCTATACATGTAATGATATCAATTTTGTTTTTCTTAAAATATGTATTTATGTTGATAATCATGTTTACTTTAAATCCAGTCTTGTTGTCCGTACATATCATTTCCTACAAGAACAGCTGATAAGCAGTATATGAATAATAAGAAAACATTGGTTTAAATTGGTCGCCCGTGAATAAATGTCTCTACATTATCAATAAATATATCTTTTTTCACTTACAATTTGTAATAATTTTTGAAGAACATGAGATCAATAATGCTCGCATATTTTTAGTTAAATCTTAACATAACAGTTAATAAGTGTACAACAGAAAGTAAAATGTTTAAATGAAATTAAATAATAAAAACCTGATCTGAAGCCGAGTCATTGCATGTTGATGTTGCCATGTTCAAAACACTTTGTTTCCGCACAATGGTTATTCCGCAGCAGTCACATAAACTACCCGCGTTTTATCATTTAACATAATTAAGGTATTTTATCAATTAATAGTTTATATCTTTTCAATATTATTTGTTAAAATCGATTTGTTAAAATCGATAATGCTAGCCATTCTCGAGGTCGAATCAATATCTTTATGAATACGAAAAATGGCGAGATATGCCGATTAGTTGAGAACTTATATATTAAAAAAAAAAACAGATAATGTAATACAGATAGTCATCTGATTTGGTAAAGTTTGAAATTAGAATAGGTTCAAGAACGAATCGAACCGAGACAAAGTATTTTCAAATACCGGTATCAATCATTCTTACTAACTGCGCAGTTAACAAATATAAGAAATTAAATGTTTTAAAACTGTATTTTCCATTTAGAGAGTAGTTAATGTTAAAGTTTAAAGACATAGTGTAAAGACAGATTTATTTTTCTCTTATGTCGAGAGTTAATCTATTGTTCTCTGATTTAATATAGCTAGAAACATCAACTTAAACATTGGAATAACGCTTGCTTGAAATTTAGTAGTAATTAGTCGTGTTCATTTACCTAGTCCAAATAACTGCTATCAAATCTATATTCCATATCATTTTTGTACTTAAATAACAAATTTATGTTGAAAGTGTGAAATTATTATGTAATTATTATAATTATACATTTTGGAGAACAACACTAATTCTATTGAACTTGTACACAGCTTCATACCTGTACAAGATTCGGAGGGCTCAGATTTTAAATGCGTCCTCGTTGAACTTTAGTGCACGAAAAAAGTGCATTGCCCACTTTTGCAATTGTAAACGTGAGAGAGTCATTCATATCCAACTTGAAAATATTACACAGAAATGTTATTATTTAACGCTTAGGTAATTCATACCTTTACATTAAAAAAGAAGTATCTTTAAATAAGTAGGCCATGATGGCCGTTTTATCGCCCAACTGTTTATGGTTGCTCTGAATTAATATTTTTGGCAATGAATGAATGAAAGGCAAATATAATACAACACTTTATTTATCTACTAGTTGTGTATGAAAACAAAAACCGATAATGTTTCTTTAAAAAGGAATTTTTCATGCTTCTTAACTCAAATAAAAACATGAATTCTGTAAAAATTAAAGATATCGAAACACTTCTTTCAGAGATTTTTTTTACATTTTCTGATATATCAAGTTAAATTCTATAGTGAATTCAAAAATAAAAATATGCTGATGTGTTAGTAATTTTGTAAATGGGCAGATTCCATGGTTACCGCATATGCCAACTGTCAAATAACCACGCTTTCTTAAGAAATATCAGTGTTATACCAAAATCAAAAACACGTTGAAAAATAAATGTCTTTTTCTTTTTATGTTGTATAAAGTAAATGCTACTGTACATGTTTTTAAAAAAGTTTTATAAGGCCATTTTACTTCTGTGAATATGATTCTTAAACACTTAAACACTCTGTATACGATGCCTTTTAACAGCGAAGAACCGAACTGCACACACAAAATAAACAATGTCTTTCAAAGTTGTAGACAATTAAATTCTTGTGCTTAAATGTTGTTACTGCGTAATGTTCTTTGTCGCTTATTTCTCAATTCAAATGTCATTATCTAAAAAGAAAAAAGTTGAACGATACATCTTATTAGGGTGACTTTATATACTTGAGTTTCTTGATTTTCTGATGAACCTGTCATCAATAACGATTTGCATCATTTTAAGTTTGTTATACAAGTTACAGTCCGGATACATGGGAGAATTAAATTTTAGCCTTGACTGGGACCTCGGGTCATATTTATCTAACTAAGACTATATTATCAAAACTGTGTACTTATAAATTATTTAAAACTATGTAGGATTTGAAAATATATTTATTATGTGTACAATGATTCTCATCGCATACCTCTCACTAGACTTAGATGTTCATCACATAGGCTAGCAAAAGAAGAAGGTAGATTTAGGAATATATCAAGGGTAAATAGAAAATATACTTTTTGCAATATGGCTGTTGTTGAAGATGAATACCACTTTGTTCTTGTATGCCAACACTACCGTGAAATAAGGAATAAATGTCTTCCAAAATAGTATTGTTATTGGCCAACACTACAAATGTTTCGTATGTTACTAAGTACACAACAGTCAAATATAACTTGCTAAATACATGTATATATTCTTAGAAACATAACTACGTTCTCCAGAGATTAGTTAAAAATGAAAATTTAAAATGTAATATTATCTTAACTATATGATGTCATAAAACTATACTATTTAATACCTGTATAGAGTAGGCCTGACCTGCTTATATAAACATAATGACCGCCTCCGATTGTATTATTTACTTTGTATGCACTAGTGATCAGATTGGTCAGGTTGTACTGGTAAGGAATATAATTATAGTTCTTTTATAAATGTTTGTAATTTGTTGTTGTTTTTTAACTTGTGTTTCAACTTTGTATAGATCATTTGTTTGATATGATTAATTTTATTATATACGTTCTATTTCAATATTATTGCTGTCACTGGTTATATGTATATATACGTGTGAATATTTTCTTTAGTTGTTTATATAGTTCATTGTAATGGTATAATCACGCTCTGCTCACTGTTTTAAATGTCACCGCCTTGCATGTGATATGTGGGTAAAGAACATTTAAATATGTTCATATGCTCAATAAAATATTGAATATTGAACTGAATTGTTACTTTATGAAATGAAATTATCTAATGTTTTAAACCGTTATTAAGTGACCTGATTGTCACACCTTTCTGGAAATGTAAGACACAGATGAGCATGGAAATGAATACGAAATTATGTAAATGGAAATTTTTAGAAATCGTTAAACTTTTCTCATCAAAACGACAAAACCGGTGTTAAATAGCCGATAAACACCGGTCAGATCGATAATATTTCGATTCTAACAAGATAAAATAAGAAAGGTCACAAACTTTTTTTTTATCAAGCGAAAATTGCTTCCTGTGCCGATTTTCGTATAACGCTGTTCGAATTCGCACCCTACTGTTGCTTAAATATTAAAATCGTTTTACAAAAGAAATAATAAGAAAAAAAGTTAATGTATAAAGTTTCAACAATAAAAACTTACGTCTTCGACTGGCTTGTATAATGTTTACATCAGAGCCCAATTTATCATTCTTGTATGTTTAGAATAACGTCATTCTAGCGAGTTTATGAATGAGTTGGTTACTAAGGATGACGTCATTACGCTGCTTACGGATTGGCGCCGTTTTGTCAATATATAAATATATTTTTAATCTAAATATTTAGTAGCTGATATCGATCAAATATTTGGCGTTAGTGTATGTGAGATATTATTTTATATTGTATGAAAAGGAAAATTATAAGACCTGAAAATGTAAATAAAAATGTTTTTTTATCGTTGCTCTAAAAGGCTTTTTAAACTATATAATCGAGGTAGAAAAAATAACAGCCGGATATAATAGTAGTCCCTAACCAGTGTTTATTGACAGTTTAACACCCTTTTTTCTTCATCGTCCTTAAGTATATATTTAAGAAATAATATTGGTCTTAGACAAAATTTCGAGGAGTGTTAGAATTATGTCTATAAATGACTTCTGTAAATGAATAATGAAGAGCACTAAATCTAAGCGGAGAAAAAACTATGACTTCGCATTGAATTGCATTTATTTGACAAAATATTTACTCAATATAACATATAGAACATCACATCATATCTAATCAAAACAGCGTCATAATATATAGAAACTATACAACTCCTGCGTGATACCCATTTTGGACTATTGTGCTTCTGTTTGGAGTTATAGAAACTTTCAATCGGCAGATAACACACAAAACCGGGCCATTCGCTATTTCTTGGGAGTTCATAGATTTACTCCAAAACTTGCGCTTTCAGGTGAAACAGGTTGGATACCGTGTAATTACAGACGTTGGTTGTGCATGATCCGTTATTGGAATAGACTTGTGAAGTTACCTAATAATAGGATTACGAAACAGGCATTCAACTGTGACTATGAGAAAAGTGATACAATAAATAATTGGTGCAGTGAAGTGAAGAATATAATGACGAAATTAGACCTCAGTGATCATTTTGAAAATAAATTGGCCATCAATATGGACTGTGCCAATTCAAAAATGATTCAATATTACGCAGACATATGGACTACTGATTGTGAAAACGAACCAAAACTGAGAACTTACACATTATTTAAGACATCCTTCACATGTGAAAATTATTTATTATTAAATTTAAAAAGAAATGAACGCTCATTATACGCGCAGTTTAGATGTGGTATCCTACCATTAAGAATAGAAACCGGTAGATATAGCGGAGAATTGCCTAATCAAAGACTTTGTAATTTGTGCCAAACAAATCAAATTGAGGACGAAGCTCATTTCCTTGTTGTGTGTCCCATTTACAATGATATAAGAACTGTTGTTTTTGGAAATGTTATTTCAAACAATTTATTTAATACAATGGCAGACAATGAAAAACTAGTTTACCTCGTAAACAACCATCAAAATAAAGTTATTAAATTCATTGTACAAGCATATCTGTTAAGGAGAGATTTATTGTATAATAGATCATGATTAATTAAAATTGAACTGTCCGTAAATGCATAACATGTATTGATATGAATTTACTATTATGTTAATAACATGTTAAAAACTATAACACATGCTCAGAATATGATATTTTGTGAAGGTGACTTATAGGTCCTATGGGCCGGGTGTTCATCTTTGTGTATTTATGTGTATGTATATACGTATAACACATGTCACTATAATAAAGAATTTACTTACTTACTTACTTACTTACTTACTTACTTACTTATTTATATAACCATTGAAATTTCTAGAGTTATCATTTCGTCGGATTTTTGACTTTTTTAAATAATAACATATGTTTGTAAGTACTTTATGGCTTTAAGATTGTAGCAATTCATACTAAGCAGAATCTTTATATATTGGCTACGTAGATGTTCATAAGCACTGCATTTTAAAACAAAATGATATTCGTCTTCGGGCTCTTTAGCATCACAGAATTGACATGTCCTTTCGTGACGTTTACACGGCTTTGACCATACTTTCCAAACTCAATTCTAAGTCTGTGAGAGGACACTAGAACGCGTGTAAGAGCACTTCTAAATGATAACA